GACTCTATGAGACCAATAAAAATGTATTGATGTTCGTAAGATCTAAGGAACTCAAATAGCGACACCTCCATCATACTTTGTAGTCCAAAGACATCACTGTTCAGCCCAGATTCAAGGGGAGGGCAAATAGATTTTTGATGGGAAGAGTGTCAAATAATTTGTAGTCATCTTTAATCCACCAGAGTGTATGAGATAATAGGATTGCATTCCACGGAATATACAAATTTGTTTCTCTTTGGAAATCTTCAATTAATGTGATTATTTTAGTATTCTAAACTCAAGAGGGAAGGCATAATTAAGAAAAAACAGTTCTCTGTTTTGTACTACTTGCCTTGACCAATATGAAAAATGCTCATGACAGGTAATGATTGCCTTGGTTAAAATTGTTCCTGAAGGACTTTTTAATGCTTCTATCTCATCTCTTGAAGGGATCCTTAAACTACTGTAGACAAAACAGGGAATTGGGTCTCAGCCTTTGCTTTCTTCAACATCTGAGAAAAAAGAGATGAAATGCCAGATTAGATGAGAAGTTTGTCACAGAGAACAGAGTGAGTGTCAATGGCAGAGCTGGTCAGAATGGGGATTTCCTGGAAGACAAAAACCAGGAAGATCTCCTCTAGCAGAGAGGAAAGTTGGAAAACTCTGGAACAATGGGAAATATAAATAGAGAGCAGGCCAGGACAGCTGATTCATTTGTCAGCAGAGAGTGAAGATTCATCACAGGGACAAGGGTTTATGGACCAAACTCTTAATCTCAGGGACCCCAGATCTGAAGGATTATATTACAAAAAAGGGAACTAGCAAAGATACTTTGAAACACCAGAAATTTTACGCTGTGGTGATAGCAATGAACATTGTGAAAAGTAGTTAGATTCTGGATACATGTGGTATGTGAAGCCGAGAAGTTTCACTGAGAGTTTGGCTATGGGATGTGAGAGGAAGAGAGAAGTAAAGAATGACTTCAAAGTTTTTGCATGAAAAACTGGAAAGGATATAGGTGTTACAGGTTTTCGGGGAGGATCAGGAGCTCAATTTTTAATATCCAAAGCTTGACCTGCCTATTAGACACCTAAGTGGAGATTATAAGGAGGTGGTTGAATGTAAGAGTTGGGAGTTCAGGAGAAAGAAGCAACCTAGAAATAAACATTTCAGAGCCATCAGCATATAAATGGTGTTTAAGTTATAAGACTGGTTGTACTCACCTACAGAATAAATGAAGGTAGAGAAAAGAATTCTAGGCACTGGGCCCATGGGTGCTCCAACAGTAGGTGGTTAGGGAGGAACCAGCAAATAAGAAGGAACTTCCAAAGAGGAGACAAAATTACTAGATATGAAAATAAGTCACCAGGCAAGTATAAAAATTCTAAATTTGTGTGGACCTAAAAAAAAGTCATCAAAAATATATAAAGCAAAAATTAACAAAGTTAGAAGTATACAAATCCAATCATCATATAAAAAATCTCACACACACGAACACACACACACACACTATATATATATATATATACAGGTAATCATTAGTTCTGAAAATGTAAGTCTGCCTGAATATAAAACAGGTAATCAGCAGTCCGGAGATTAGCAATGGCAGGTAACCATCGCTAACTTGAGGAGCAAGTGAGGAAGTGGTCTTATTGGAATTCAGGAACTGGGGCAACTGGTAGAAGCTGGATCCTTGGTAGATCTGTCCAATGAGATCTGGAGTCACGGAGGAGATTAAGCTGCTGCCTGAGACAGAGGAGAGATGAGAAATGTCCTAACTTTTAGCCCCATCCAATCCCCCACCAGTGCCATTTGCTGAACCCAACCAGAATCTGATTGGCAAGGAGGTACACAGGAAATAGACCCTGTAAGGGTCATTGCTCCTGCAATATAAAGCAGAGCACAGAGAAGAGCATGGAACGGACACGAGAGAAACCAGGCAGATGACAGGCATGTTGTATCCAGTGATTTCTCTTTCTCACTGAAGGGTTTTAAGGAGGAAGTCACAATGTGATTGACATTTTAAAATATCACCCAATCCGCACTGTAAAGATTGCCTTGGAGAGAGAAATAGATGGTCAGAAGAACAGTTATGAGACAATCGCATTTGTCTGGGCGGAGGTTATGGTGTCCTAGACTAACATGATGGAGAGGAGGGAAGTAGACCAGTTTGAAACAGATTTAAAAGGTAGGCTTGAGAGGACAAGAGATTGACTCCAAGCGAGGAAGAGGAGGGAATCAAGGATGGCTCGTGGATTTCTATTTTGATTAACACAGGAAAATGGGGGAGTCATTTGCTGAGATGGGAAAATACAAAAAGAGAAATATATTTACAAGAAAGATGGTAAGTTCAATTGTGATGCTTGCAAGTCATCAAAATGGTGAGGTCCAGTGGACAACAGATTATTTGGGCCTGGAGTTCAGGAGGAGGATCTGAACGGGAATGTACATTCAGAAGCCGTCAGCATATGCCTGGTATCTGAGACTAAGGGAGTGGGTAAGATCACCTGGAAAGATCTTATACAGTCAGAAGGGGCCTAAGTTTGGAGAAACAATATTTCAGGGACAGATAGAAGAGAAAACAAAATAGAATCAGAAAGAAGTCAAAGGAAACGTCAGCAGAAATCAAAGAGAATGTGAAGCCAAGAAAGAGAGTATCCCAGGAAGGAGTGTTTTACATGTGCGATTATAATTGAGAAATCATAAGGTAAGAACTAAGATGTGGCCTTCATGAGTATTGTTTCTCTAAGGGCTGGGGAAAAACTCAATAGGATTATGAGATGCAGACACCTGGTATAAGTTTGGATGGGAAAGAAAAGAGACAGTAGGGCAGCAATTACAGGCAAACTGCATTGAACAATAAGAAGACATTATAAGTTTCTGAGCAAGAGAATGATGTAATGAAAACAAGCCTTTGACAGTGTGATTTTCACCAGACTGCAACAACATATGGGGTAGCAAATATATATTCACACCCTCAAGTTTCATTGCTCTGAGTGCCTACTGCTTTGACTTACAAGGAATGCCAACATTAAAAGATTCTTCCTCCTCAAGCATATCCAAGAGTCCCCAAGGTGCTGAAATGAACTCATCCTGGCCATCACTTGCTACCACCCCCATCAGAAGCACCCACTCACAGCCAAGCTGCTGGCCAACAGTTCTATGCAGGTGCCATTTAAATTTCACACACCCCCCCCCACCAGCTGGTCTTGGTTTCTAGGATTATAGCTGCCAGTGGTGCTTCCACAAAAGTACTCACATCCCTGGTATTGCTGCCAGAAAGCATGGGACTCGGAGCCCCCAGGGACAGGGACCTGGTGAGACCATCCATTTGTGCTGGCTCCTGTTAGACTTCTGCTGGTTTACCCAGGCAGAGACCCTCCTACAAAGCAAGAACTGTCTTTCTCTATACATAAAATGTTTACTCACAACAGCTACCAGTCATTAAGTGCTATCTGTTGGCCAGGAAGTTCTTTATGTACTTTTAACTCATTTCATGCTCACAATAACCCTTGGAGGTAGATATGATTTTTATCTTCCCATTT